TGTAGCCTTGGTTATGAGCTATAGTTTTGGGGGAACAAGAATTTAAATAGACCCCCGCTTGCACAAATTAGTTTCGATCACTGTAGAAATGAGGGTTTAAGATGATATTTACAATAAGCTGTAACTCTTACTACAAAAACCCTTTCTCCAGTGCAGATGCAACAGGTCGTGTTTAGCCTTTAGTTTATTGAAAGCCACCGCAGAAGTTGGACTGCACGGTAACAGAACATTGACTGCTTCCTGTTATTCCATCTGAAAAAAGTCTGATCATTATCAAACAGCACTGAACACAAAATATGTACATATGTGTACTGTATGTATATATATTATACGTCTATATGTATACAGCAATTGCAAAACGTGTGCAACAAATTCCGGTTTTGCAATAAAAGTGTTCAGTTGGAGCTATCAAATTTGAATGAAAAATATTCATTTAAAAAAACATCCTTTACATCCTTCATGATTCATTACAATTACGAAGGAAGGAAAGATACTTTTGCAAAGCACTGCATCCTAAAACGTGTCAGCGAACAACACCCACTGTCGAATTCCTCATACAAGAAGTATGCACTGGTGGCACAGCCAGTAGTATTTTTACTTTCTTGTTCAATGTTAAATCCGAATGACTAAATTCACACTGAGGCATTTAACTGTAAAAAAGTTCATGTCAGCATGTGCCAAATCACTTGGGAACAGGACAAGCGTGTAGGCATGCAGTACCAAGGCAATTCATTGCCCATGCATGTCATAAGGGCAATTTTCCACTGACTCATTTGCAGATGGATCGATACTTTATATTCCCAAAAAACCCTCGGTATAAATGAAATAAATTAATGCCAACTCGCAGAGACATCACAAAGAACTGTTTATAGTTCATGCAAACAATGTTTCAGAGAATTACCAGTCATTTGTATTTTTCTTAAGCAGCGATTTAACACATTAAGGGCGCTAGTCGCTGTAATCAAGGCTGTCATGTTCGGAATAGCATTTTACAGTAACTTTTTTTTGTCATGTAACCATTACTGGTTCTGAAATGAACTTGAATGGGATTCTTAAGAACTTAAAGCACATACTTTTTATCTATAACTATTTAGCATAATCTGTAATATGAATGCATATTTGTCTTTTAGATACAATAAAAGGATTGCATTAATTCAGTTACTTTTGTACCTCATTGAGGATTATTATCTACCTTTAAAACTACAGATTTCTATCAGAACTGAGCAGCTGAATCTTAGGATTCAAGTTTCTTGAATCTTAAAAGTTTTTAAAAAGTTCAAAGTTTAAAATCAATTTTTCCTCATGTGTGAAATCAGGTGATTTCTTTATGTTTGAAAAGTCAAGCAAAGATTGTTTTAAAAAAAACTGTCTGACTGAATGCAATTTGGGTCTAATAATGACTGAGTCATGCTCTTCCAACAGCAATGTCAATTGAACCAGAGCTCACTTTATATAACAGTTCCCATAGAAACCCATGAGTCAGCCTGGTATTGAATGAAAGATAATTAATAAAACCAAGCACAGGACTATATAGTCTAAGGATACATTTGAGAATATATATAAAACATAATCCAAGATAATTTTTAGTTTTTGAAATTCTAAAAATATGGATAGCCTGCTAAATGAAGGATTTTTTTTAAATTTTTACTGCTGACAAACTATAGATTCACAATCCCAAGAATTAACCGTGAATTACTGTGATGAGAAATGATTGATAATACTGTTGAATAAATGCTGTATCTTCACAAAACTTTAGACAGGGATATTTGCAAAAAACGATAATGTAATTTACGATTATACACAACATTTATCATTCTATGCTGATAATGCACTTAATTCTCTTCATTCTGGTCATGTGTAGTACTGGCTAGGATGACATCTTAATGTTTTTGTCTTTTTGCAATTAATTTTCTATGATCACATATACCCTTAATAATACCATTATAATATAAAGCAGACAGCGAAACCCTGTATAAAAGCAGCTAAAAAGTACAACTTTAAAACATCTATATAACACAATAATTAAGTGCACGTTCAAATTTACATACAGTACACACTGTAGGATATTATTAGACAGGCGAGAACAGTTAATCACTATAAAATAATATGTCTTAATAAACCAGCTTTTTGTCAAAGAATGACAATTCAAGATTTAAATTAGAGACAGGAACCATCTGTTCATAGTTTGTCAGAACCCTGATTGATTTGAAGTGGATTGGTTATGGAGCTTGCAGGTGTGATTTAAGGTATTATGTCAAAACACATGGGTCTTTTTTTAACCAAGTGGGTCTCTCATTAATATAATGGTTCTCCTATGAAAAAGAAATAATTTTAAGTTAAAAACCTTCTTTTTTTCTGTATCTTGTTCCTCTTAAGGCTTCAGCTGCAATCAAGCTACTCTGCAGCACGTTTTAGAGTTATGGCCTCTATCACTATACATCACAAGGATAAAATAGGAAAACCGATTTTAGATTTCACAACAGGAAACCGAGCAGTAAAACAATTCAGACCAATACTTACTGTGCTAATCTGTGGTTTTTCTGGTAAGCACTGAACACTTGCTGAACGCTATCTTCGACCTTTTTCTGCGTAACACAAAGCATACAATGCATTTTGGTATACAATACACAATGGATTGTACGATTCCACAAAGGAGTAAACAGCATAATACATTTAGGAATTCAGTACATGTCAAATTGTAGTATGACAAAGCACATGTTGGTAAAATGCAATCGTAGCAATGCAGTGCAGTAGAAAAACCAATAGCTGCAAGGCAGGAAGAGATGGCAGGAGCTGCAAAACTGGTGTGGCCAGGAAAGTGCTGGGGACGGACAGGCAGTGCTGATGTTCCAGGTACGTCTGTTCCTTCATGGCAGTGAGCAGGAGGGACAGATCAGGCATGGGAGCAGAGAATGCATGTGGAGAGGATGTGAGGGGATACAAGTAGGAGGAAGACAAAAGAAAGGTGAGGAGAAGTGCTGGAGGAGAGCATGAAGAAATTGACCTGGGCAAATATAGGAAGCTAGAGGAAGGTGCCAAGCAATGCAGTCCCAGGAGAGAAATAAGCAGAGCTCTGGCTGACTGGAAGTCGAGCTGTAGTATTCCAGACTACAAAGAACAGAGTTATGGCCTAGAACCTGGACATTACTCAGTTTTTAAATGATTACATCTTCAAATTCAATTTTGAATGATTTCAGTTGCCTTTGAGACAGAAGAACTTTCAAAATAACTGGCAGCTGAAACGCAGGCAGTTTTTCCAACAAGACAAGTGAGGGATCATGTCTTGTGACGATAGTGTCTGGACAAACAAGATTACTCTCTTCACGCAGTTAAGTCGGGATAGGGACCAGTGAAGTTTTAAGATAAGGCAATGGTGGATTTTACACTTATAGTGCTCTCAAACTACAGTGCCCGTCATGCAGAAAATTATCAAGGAGCATAATTACTTCCTCCCATTTATATTCTTAAGTGAACAATGAAATGATTAAGCTGGGCTTCTTGGTTCTGGGTCTCAAGGGGCACTGTGTCCAATACGTTTAATAGTTCCCTTTTACTATGCATTGTCAGCAGCTTACAATGGTCCAACTGTAAAAATAATGAATTCAATCACAAGTGAAAAACAAACTATCTTGCATGTCTCAAAGATTACAGCTGTACACCTCTGACGTAAAGTTTCTCTGCGACAGTGGTGTGAAACTAACCTCAATAATTATTTCAGTGGTGCAGATGTATTAAGAGTGGATTACGCTACATTTAAGCTCAACTAGTGATGTTTCCAATACACACTAAACACAGCAGGAAGGTTAAAAAGCATAACCCCTGAGATATGTTACAATACGATAAACATGTGAAGCTTCCTTCTGATGTTAGCTGGCTTACTGAGCTGTATTCACACTGAAGAACAGGGAAATATGATACGCGAGAACAAACTTTATGCAGTTGTGAATCACATCTCATACGTGCAAGTCATCATGGACACGAGATGGTCACATCGAACTGCTAAAGTGCCCGCATGGGTGTGTACTGTCACTGTCCATGTGAACAATCTTCCACATGTTCCCACTTGTACTTAACCAACTTTTACTGTGACAGCGTTAGACAGGTTATAAAATCCTGAACACAAATTATAAAATCATTGTATAACCTAAGACTTTTCTTGGAAAATATTTCTTGGATATACATTCTTTTTAATGCTATTTAAATTTTAGTACAGTAACGACTCATTTCCCTAGAACATTTTTAATTGTCTTCACATAGTTCATACAATTGGTGTAAAATGTACCGCTGCCTCACGGTGATGTTTTTTTTTTTTTGCCCACTGCTTGTGTTGACTTGTATTTAAGTTTTATGTTGTATTTGTTGTCGTTGCTGCTGCTGTTCTGTGTTTATGCTTGGTGTTTCCTTAATGTCTTTGTATTGGAGCATACATGCAGATAAGCATTTCATTGCACTTGTGCATATGAGAAATAAACTGAACTGGAAATTGCGGGAGTTTTACTCGAGAACTTCACTTGCCAGGTTAACAGCTGGACAGATCCCGACACATGACGTCATCAGCAGAGCCAGGTCAAAGCTCTTGAAATGTTTTCGATTCGCGTGCTTCCTGCCGTGCTGGAACATGACTTATCCCAACATAAACCGTCATGGGCTTAACGTTAGCACAATATAATGGACATTAAGGGGTTTAAACTCAAATAATTGTTTCTTGATTCTTGTTCAGTGTGCAACAGGATGGATGAATTACTTAGTCAAAGCACATTTCCTAACCTATAGATTCCCTCAACAACAGCGCTAATGTCCTTGCAGATGCTGGGCGTCGAAGGTTTAGCAAGCTGTATTTAGCTAATCACTGCTAAACTCGGGGATAAGCTTAATTCAACTGCACAAAACTAAGCTCCAGGTAAAACACAACGTGTCCCTCGTGTAGACAGTAAACCTCCCACAATTAACACAATAAAAAACAATCTAATAAGAAGCATTTTGAAGTAAATCCCAATTAAATAAAAATGTAATTAACGAACGTCGGGATTGCCAAAGAATTACAAAAGTAAAACATTAACCAGGTACATTACCTACCTGTTCTACTGAAGTCACCGTTTCCACATTGTCGTCCTTAAACATTTCCATTTTATGGTTTTCAGAAAGACATCGCAAAGGGGAGATCGGCTCCTCCATAGTTAAAATGGAAAACAAATGTGTAAAAACTGTAACTATAAATGAAAATTCTGAATTCCTTCTGAAACAACTGATCCACTTTCTTTCTGCTTCCTATAAACTGGGCGGCAACAAGCGAAAATACTGTACGGCACGTCAGCAAGGACAGTCATGGTTTTCAAAACGCTTTTTTCAACACGGCCACTGGAGTACAATAACGAACTGTAGAGGTTGTTGTTCTCCCCCTGTGGTGACAATTATAATGCTAACTGAAGTACAGAGAGTTTTTTCAGTTAATGTCATTAACAGGAAACAATAATGGAAATCAAAACATCTTAAATATTTTAATTAAGGTATTGTAACGCTACGGGGTTCAGTATTACATATTATATGTTTATAATTGTCTTTATAACGTCACAACAATATTGTATATAGGGATAATCCTAATATGTTTTAACACATTCACGGGACGGGTGTATTATGAGTCACGATTCTGGCCATATTCTGTTATATCCAAAATATTTTAACCACTCGTAACTGAAAGCCAAATTAAAGTACCCTTCGATAACTAAAGGTACAGTATGACATTGCAATGCTGATGCACAATGGGAGACAATAGTTGCCCGTTTTAAAATACAAATGATAAAAAACGTATTAAACACTTGGTATTAGTGGGCTCTAAGAGTAAAAAATGTAATGTGCACAATTTATACGAACTTTTAAATGTGATTTTTACATTCATTTTCTGTTAATCCACTTTTAAATAGAACACGATGTCTAAAATCTGTATTATTACATGTTTTTGTCCAAAGGCACTTCTCAGATGCACCCTCTCGAATTGAAACCACATTTATAAATCAAAGAGCTGCCCTGGCGTTTGGATTAATCTGGGGGAAAATGCCCCAGCTTACTTTCTGTTGGTTATTAATTATTTATTGCCGACCTTGGAGTAAACTGAGATAATTTGTTACAAATATACAGAGGAGAACGGGAGATAAAGACAGTGCTATTGACCTGTGGTCTCAATGGGGCTTTCCTTCATAAACCAACAGACACAACACGGATTCTTGCCATTTTTGTCTTTTTCTACTAGGTTAGGTGAAGGACAGTAATAACCGTCTGCAGTAAGACGCACTGTCCATATCTACCACTTTAACTACTGAGTTCTTTGTTTGCCAGATTGTGTGGCAGTTTTTTCAAGATTGTCTGCTACGTCACCAGACAAATTTCACAGCGCAAAATAGTAATATTCAAACAATATGTTAGTTCATCTACAGAATGTTACTAGTGCACCACTTACTGTATGTAAACGTACCGCAAGGCATCCACAAAAACGAAGGACTATTAAAAAATGTCTTTAGGAGAAAAAAAAACTACTAAAATTACAATTAACTATTATTACGAATGCACACTTGCAACAAAGACGCGAACATTAACTAGGTTTAAAATGTAAACTGTCAATATCCACAAAGAATAGTCATTCAAGTCGTCCAAAGCCAATTGTAAAATATGCCCAAAGTGGTAACCGGAAACACATTGACCTACGATAAACTCAAATGGTGCAAAAACCCGGGACAGAGAAATAAAAAAAAAACTGTAAGAATGTTTCCCATTCTTACCAATGTAAAGTTTCACCTGTCAGACGTGCACTTTCAACACGAGTACACGAACGTCTGATGAGTTTAGCTAAAGGCACAAGTCCGATGTGCCAGCCAGTTTTTCTACATCTTCACCTCGAAGTAATTTGTTTGGTGTCGGGAGATTGTTTCAGATGTCCTTTTAGAGGTCTTCTCATGGATTGCTCAAAGAGTTTAGGTGGAGGAGCTTTTTCGCAATGCAATAATAATTATGTTGCCCTAAATTGAACTCTTCTTTAGCAAAAATAATCTATTGCAATCCAGTTAATACAACAATTGACACACCAGTTTACGCATATTGATCGTTTTCAGTGGATGTTAAAAATATGCAAGTGTGGTATGATTAGTTTTAAGATTAGTAGGAGCGCTAATACCGCTGTTATTCTAGAGATGTCAGGTGAGAAGTGAAGCCCAACATATTGAATAGTGCGTTTTCACTACTGCTATTGATTATTTAAGTGATTATAATTGAATTAAAATAAACGCATTATATCCAGAATTGATTAATTGTCAATATTACAGGGTGTTTAAAGGAATAAATACAGAATGGTCCAAAGGACAGTTTTTGTATTTCCATACTGATTACACTTAAGGTCGTCAACACAGTTCCGCTCTACGGAATGTGGTGCTCTTATTTAATGCGAAAGCTGACAATATAGCAACAAAATCCAGAAACCTGATACAATGCATACATTAAGTCTGTTATATTGAAAAATAAAGAATGCCTTAAGGGTCATAAAAAAAAACCCACATGTTTTGCTCAGGTATATCCCCCCCTTCTCGTTTTCCCCCTCCCATTTCGCGCGATGTCATTGATGCCGAAACAGCCACGGCAGGTTTTCATCCTTGGCTCTCCATACCCCAGTAAGACAACGTGAAAATTGGATCCACCCTTTTAACAACCAAGAAAACCACCGCGTATTGTGATGATGCACTGACAGAAAAGGACAGGCAACCAGAGGGTTCTGGGAAACATCGGCTCTTGAAGGCTTTTGTTTACATTTTGGCAGATATGGGAGATAAATTTACCGGCATTAGTGATTCGTTGCAGAGTTAACCTCTTTCCCCTAGTACACTATGGCTAAGCAGTATGATGTACTGTTCAGGCTGCTGCTTCTCGGAGATTCCGGGGTTGGGAAAACCTGTTTGCTGTGCAGATTCACGGACAATGAATTTCATTCTTCACATATTTCTACAATAGGTAAGAAAGCACCTTCCCCGTATTTTGTACGCATCCCCTCTACTTTCATGCATGTTTTCAAAGCCATAGATGGCGGAGTCACATTTTAAAATAAAAAAGATATCAGTTTACATTGCCCTTAGCGAGAAAGAAAAAAATGTTTTGTTTTACCTGGAAATGGGGGATACACCGGCAATTCTTTTACGTATGAAAGAAATATATAAATAAACCAGGTTTCATTGGACTGGGTTTCTGATTGTGTGTTATGATTCTGATTAAGGCAAAAAAAAAATCTTAATGTAAATGTTATTTTATAAGTATTGATCTAACTGTTTTTTACACACATTAATATTATTATAAGTAGACCTAGTAGCTTTTTTTGTATGATAATTTGATATTAGCATTTTAAAAGGTTTTTTTTTATGACTGAAACCAAACGATGTTTCTAGTGAAGGCTCAGATTGCCGGTGTGATGTCATAAGAGTAAACCGACCTGGAGTTAAAGAATCCTTAACATTTTTCTCATTTAGTTCGAAATTAAATCTTAGACGACCATTCTTTCATGAAAAATGGAATAAAGTTTTACTGTTCTTTAGCTTTAGTCAACAGAAACAACTTCAACATGTTATTTCTGAAAGGTCTGCTTTTTTTCCACGTTGCCCACAATGTTATCTAATTTAAAAAATAAATAAAATAGAAGTGCTACCCTGCTATGAGTCTGGTTAAACTCATCAGTCAAAGCTCTCAAACAGCAACCTACCATAACAAGCAAAGAGGTTAGTCACAGTTTTAATTACAACACAAGTGTGCTTTAATTCACCGTAACATGATTAAAGCCAAATATAAATTTATGACTGGAGAGCTATAAAGGAACAAGTGGAAGTTAATTCCTCACTGAAAAGCAGAAGAATGGAAAGCAACATTTTGGGTGTGGAGCCTTATTCTTCTTGGTGTGTTTAAGAAATACATGTAGCCCATGGTTGTGGTGAACATTTTGATAGTATAATGTAAATTAAGGTGGAATTAAACCTCTGGGATCTTGTGTATTTAATTCTGACACCAGTCTGTTTGCAGACTGTGGCAGGTAACTCAGTCCACATATACAGGCCAGTATTCTACCAAATGGATAATCCAGTTGATCCCAGTCCATCTATGTTTATGAACACTAACATACTGGAGCCCTTTCATTTATCTAAGTAGCTTGCATGATTACCTCAACTACACAATACTTTAATACAGGAAAAAGTGATTGCCATAGTCAGAAGCAGAGCAGGGCTTCTCACTCTTGGACTTTATATCCCTGAAGTGATCTTTCCAGCCAGACTCTTGGTTGGTTAATTGTTACTGATTCAACCTTTTTAATTGTTCTCTCCTCTTATAAAGTACCCTTTTTAAAATCACCTCCTTGTATGGAATTTTCGTGTACTTGTTTCTTTGCAATTCACTCAGTGGCATAGCTCAGCATTCTATGTTGCTAACGTATTCTGTTTTTGGTATTCATTAAAATACCTCAAAATCACACCCATCCTTGTGGGTTAAAGTGAGCCAACTTTCCGTTAGATTGTTAAAGGAAACTACATTCTATTTACAGCATAGTGAAGACACTGTTTCAGGCAATGCGAGTAGAATCGGTATTTTCTGATGGAAACAAGAAACCTTCATCAGAATCCTTTTCTATTTTTAAAACAGAAGGAAATAAACTTGCAGGTGATCCATCACAACCTTCTCAGGTTTGAAGAATTATGGTGACAATTGTGAGGCTTTAGCCAAAGTGCTAATGAACTTCTTAGTGGAGATTTTGCTTGTTTCCTGTGAAAGCCATCAGCTGTAGGCCTCTGATGAAATAATAAAAAATGGGAATATTTAATGTGTTGGTAATTAGTAAGCATTTGTTTTTTTATACACAACTGTGGCTTTTACAAACATGGACTTCAAATATTAAGACTTAAGTAGCCTGATCCTGGAGCTCAGGTATATGTTGATGATTTGGAAATCAATAAAGTATTAGAAGAGTAGAATGCACTTTGATGATACCGTATCTTACCCTACATATTAAAAGCGTGCAGCCATGACAACCAAAGAAGACATGCCAACGATGAAGAATAACTGCTGTGTTGTAATTTAAACCAAGAGTTTGAATCTTGTAGTTATGAAAACTCTTTCATACCCTTTTCATCAGTGTGATTGTTGTATTGTTTGAATTGAATGGATTCCCATGCATCTGAACAGTATTGCCCAGACAGACGTGAAATATAGATCCAGAATACGTTTCACAGGAAACAAGATAGTCTGCAGTGTGGCATGCAGTAGCTAGAATGTAATACGCAAGATGCAGTACTACTAATGTACATTTGAGTGGGGGCAGAATATGGAGGAACTACCTGCCCAGCAAACACTATGTAGAACAAACTCACAACGCCTTAATACAACTGTAGATCACAGTATGTAATTTTCAGATTTGAATCGGGTGTCTCAAAGCAAATATGTAAAAAGAATTGTTTAAATTTAATATTATTAAAAAAAAAACAATGCCATTGTGTTCCAAAACTGTAAGTTCATCTAGATGGTTTTTAAGTGATAAGTCATTACACATTTCTAAATGTAGAGGCTCCTAAATCAAAGTCATAACCATTATAAGATATTGTCAACATTCACATCCAAGTTCCCATATCTCAAGATTATTTCTAGGAAACTTTACTAACATATGTATTGTATTAAGCTTACAAGACCCTTTGTTGTTGTTTTTTTCCCTTAGATGTCAAAACTTGTATGAGTCCCTTTAAACAGTCAGCTTCTTATTTCTTAAAAAAATATTTCTCCATGGTAACATCAGTTTTGCTTTGTACCCCGCCTGCAGTAATTGTCATGGCACATGGTTTCTTGCACATTGGGAGAGGAGATGCACACAGGAAATGCATCAGTGTTAACTAGCTATTGTCAGCCAGAATTTGAGGGCAAACAAAAATAAGAGGAGGCTTCTAAATTCAGTGAATTGAGGGGTGGCATTAGAGTGCAATTAAATAAATTACTTGTTGGTGTAAGAAAATAGCTCTTCCAGTGTCCTCTAAATTATTGTTTTTCCCATTAACCTAAAGCTTCGGGCTTTGGAGCAAGCATTTGTAAACTAAAGCAATTCTGTTTGCAGACTGTGGCGATTTTTATATTGGAGATAATTCTTTTACAGAGTTAGTGTTACTAATAATTGACCTCAACACTTTATCTGAGATAACTAGGTTTGAATAAGAAAAGGCAATGTACATTTCTAAATGAATAAAACAACTTCTAATCATAGGATGAGTAGCATACATTATTTAGTACAGTTTACAGCATCATACTGGAAATTATTTTCAAACAGAACAGTTAGTTCTGTTAATGGAATAACTAGAGAACAACATTCAGTGGAAACAGCAGGATCCAGAGGTGAGGAAAGAATGAAAAGGACCAAAGACAAGGTTACAAACAAGAGAAGATCTTTCGATCCAGTTTGCCCAGTTGGTTGCTAGCTATTTGAGCCGGGAAACTTTTGCAGGCGCTCCTTAATAGAAATAATGATATGGGATTCAACAACGTGAATGTGTTTGTAAAAATGGTGCCACCTGTACTATTTTCATGACTGAACCAGTGCCCTCCATTCCTGTATTATCCCACCTTTTTCATTCCTTTTTGAACCAATTAAGACCATACTGTATTTTCATTTAAGAGTGGCAACCAGGCAAATACTCATTTTTAAGATAAAATCATTTTGTTGTATTAGGGACTTGTCTTTTCGCATACTCCAGCTTGCTCTCCATGAGACACACAGACAGGGAGAGAAGCTTGGGGTCAGACTGCAGGGTGAGGCATTTATACGGTGCCCATGGAGCAGGTGGGGTTACGGGCCTTGCTCAGGTGCCCAACGGAATAGGTTTCTTCTGCCAGCTGTGGGGTTCAAACCAGCAACCTTTCAGCCAAAGGAGCAGATCCTTAGCCACAGAGCGGCCGCACCACAAGATTTGTTGTTTTTTTTAGTTTCTGAAATAACAATAAAGTTAAAGTCTAAGCCAAATAAAGTATATTGGCCCTGTGGAACAATTAAAATGCAAATAACAGTAGCTTTCTTCATGGCATGGCTACCTAAAAGAGCTGGTCTTGTGTTGAATGAGTGAATGCTTTTTCTCACTATAAATTGTGTAATGACACTGAAAGTAATAAGTAGAGTGAGAGAGTTGTGGATAAAGAACTACATTCAAAATGGTCTCTGGCAGATGAATAAGTTCATAATTGACATTATGTCCCCTTGCAGCTTCAATATTCTTTTTTAATAACTACTGTGCATAGTATTGTTCAGTATCTGTGATGAATAAAGAGAAAGTTGTTTGTTTTTTGAGCTTTAAATGTGCCACATGACTTTCTCTCATCTTTTAGTTAAGGTTAAGAGTGCTGCAGTGTCGCCAAGAAGCAGAAACTATAATGAAGGAAAGAATGGTGTAACACTCACTTGGAAGGTACAACGGTATACTGTTGTCTATAGCAATAGGAGATGTAGCCTATTTGACATTTTGGTCAATAACCTGACATTTATCTTCTATCATATCCCTGACCAAGATGCCAGATCTTCTGCTATATTTTTGTACAAAGTCTTTGAACTTTTGAGTGTTTCTCTCATCTTTACCCTTGGTTTCTTCTACCGTAACATAAAACAGAATACTCCTGATTTATAGAAAGGCTGGCCTGGTGCTGTAGCATTGGATAAACAGTTTAATCCACAAAGAGTATATATTTTTTTATTGTTGCAAGTAACCCTTTTACTATTGATTCTTCAAGGGACAAAGTAATGAGAAATTTTGCCAGCACTAAATTTTGACAAATTTGTTTATACTAGATTTATTAGCTGCAGAAATATCCATGTGTGCATTTTGTTAAAAGGTACCTTTTAAGAAAGAAAGGATATATACAAATATATATTCCAACCTAAGGTCTTACTCTGTGTATGTGATATCCCTTCTTAAGACAATGTGGTAAATTAGCTTGTTGCTGATTTC